CGTACAAGGTCTGGCCGATCGCCAACTTCTTCTCAACGACATTCTTCCCTGTGGAGAAGCGCATGATCTTCCTCAGCTTCTGTGGACTGCTATGGAACATTTATCTGTCCCTGGTGGCCGCTCGGTTATAGACAAATTTCTCGCGAATATGATAGCTGTTACTCGACCTGCCTTTGTGCCATCCAAGACCTTTTGGACATCAAGCCTGTCGCGGGCCTGACTTCCATGCTGCCATGATGGCAGCCCAGTACTTTGCTTCGTCTTCTCGTACATGTCCACAATGCGCGCTGCGCTCAAACTTCACTCTCGTGACCGTCCATCCCTTCGACTCTGCAACGTCTGCATGCTCGTCTGCCTCTTCGAATCCGACCATCTGATCTGCACGGCTATACAGATACACCCTCGGAACAGAATTGTCGAACACTATTGCATCATTCAATTCGCGGCAAAGTATCACCATCTTGTTGTCCTTTCCTATAGCTCTCCAGACCACGAACGTACACGCAAGCAATAGGTGGACGAGTGCACCCCCAAACCATGTCCAAAACCAAGTCCTGGGGAGAGAGGCAGCAATTGCGGCGTGACTTTTCATCCAGGGCCCCTTGGTAGGTGCAGAGTCGAGTACTTGAATTCGCATGGGCATCGTTGTTCCAAAGCGGCCTTTCCAGGCCTTGGCAAATTCGTTGACCTGATTGCCGCCACCGTTGGAGAAGCTGTGAACCAGTACCTCCCCGCCACTCTCGACGTGCTCCTTTACCACGTCCATGGCTGGAGTCAGCAGTGGCCCATATTCACTTGTGCGTCGGAACATGTCTCGAGTGTAACATCGAATGAGCAACATCCGTGAAGCGGGGAATGCATTCTGGTACCAGATGGTGTATTTTGCGATATGTTTGGCGGCGGCGCCGTTCCATGCGAAGACCAGGATCAACGGTGTCTGGCTCGCGTCTGCGGAATGGTAGGAAGGAGATGACCAAAAGTAAGTCTCATGTCCAATCCTCCGAAGCTCCGACAAAGGAGGCGAGGTACTCTGCGCGGGCGGTGATGCCATTAATGCGCCTTCAAAGTCATTCCCCTGAAATTTTGGATACTTGTAAATGTAGAAGGAAGTACACGGTAATGACGAGCAGTTACGTTTAATTCACGGTCAAGCAAAGCTCTCGCTGAAGCGTGTGTGCCGGTACGTTGATGACTTGGCACGAAGGATCAGCCTCGGCTTCCGTCTCATTGGTGTAGGGCATGCGCGTGCGAGGCTTCGCTTCGCGCAGAGTGGCCTGCACGGTTCATTCTGTTCCGCACACTATGATCGATGTTCATTGATCATAGGTTCCTTCTGGCTTCACGACGTAGTTGGTGCGGAAATGCGTCCGGACCACCGGCTCAGTCAAGCAACGACGTGGGCTGCCATGGCTGTTCTCATTCATATGTACACACTGCTCTGGCGACAGGACTGATCGACCTCCCACAAACAGGCGGCTGTATGTGACTTCATTATGATCACTCTTCTTGTGTCTCACGGAGCCAGGGAGTCCTAAAACAGGAGTGGCTTCTCCAGCCCCTCAACGCTAAAATACTACCTGCATGGATCTGCTGCTCCAATTTTGGTAACATGGAGGGCTGTAGACCTTCACTACATCAAGAGATTCGAATGAGTCTTCTGTATGTTGCACTAGTCACTAGGTCCTTACTTCCGACTTTGCAAGATCCTATACCTTCATGAGTCAATGAGGAATGCCCCGTTTGGAAGGCAGATCCATCCTTAACTTTGTGCAGTGCCTCCAGCTCACACATTGAGTTAAGTGGAAAAGTCCCGGCCATCGCCTGGCCGATGAAGCGCTTGAGCAGATTGTCACACCAGTAGGCAATTAAAGCTGAGACTTAAGGCGAGAAGCTCTATCGCTACTCGTTTCTTCATTGTTGGTGTCAATTGTGGACGTGGCTAGGCCTCTGATCTAGCATAGCAGGCTCGACGCCCCTCTGACAGCATGTATTCCATATCGGTGCATCTGTGTCCGATCTGCATGTCCGTATTCTGCGCGATGGTCAAATTTCCTTCTATTACGAGGCTGCGAGGACTCCTGCACCTGTGCATAGTGGCACCAAGAAGGACACAACGTAGGTCGCGAAGTCGCTTGGACTAGGACACTGTAGGTTCACACCTCCGATGGGACGTGGCTCTGCTACCATTCCAGATCGATATTGGTACAGCACGAATCTCGATGAATGCGAGTAGAGTCCTATGCACTCTGCGAATATAGTAGCTAGGAGACCTTCAATACATCTCGAAGTTTGCGTTAAAGCCCGATACGTACGCGATGGTCTTCAGCATTGTCCCACCGGACATGTGTGTAGTACATGGCAAGGTGCGTGCAGACATAACTTACTGAGAGCCTGGGAGCCCTTTGACCGACTCGAAAAGAGATGCGCAGAACCTCTTGAGTGTAGAGTCCTGTCTCGCGGCTGCCTAGGTGGTAGTGATTGAATCGTTCTGACACCTGCAGTTCCTGGGTAATTCCAAGAACCCCTACCTGACGACTACCCAGATTCTGTTCAGTTCCTATCGCAGTTCTACACGTATTGAACATATAGTATATCAGCAATTTTTTGTAAAGCCAAGATGCGGCAGGTAAGTGCTTATGGTTTGAAGCTGGAGAGCTTCGGATTACCTCAAGACATAATCAACACGAACATGTTCGTACATGTGACCACGCACTTACGCAAAGCAAACTACGAGCAGCTCCGCGAATTCAGAGGAAGTTCGTACATTCCTGATGAGCATACATGCCAATTTAGAAGCGTAATGAAATTAACTAACATAAAATGGAAGTCAACATTGTGTGCCAAACCCTGCGTAGCGAGTGAGAACGAGTGTAGCTGGGAAAAGCAACAATACGATTCAAAGCACGCACGACCAGTTCCAAAATTGAAGCATGCGAAAGTTCTAGTCATGGTACGCGACAGTTCGGTGGTTTGGGCGGGTCACATGAGTTCCCCTGACCCAAACATTCACCTCAGCCTTGGCCGACCACCATATGACCTACAACACGACCAGGACAAAAAAGAATAGAACGAAAGCCCGATGCGGGGGTCGAACCCGCAACCTTGAGATTGCAGTTGTATCAATCGTCTTGTGGGGACGTGAAACTAAGAGTCTCACGCTCTACCGATTGACTTCGGCTTTGTTAGCTTGAGAAGACTTTTGGAGATGAGAATGCACGTACGCTAACCAGGCTGATATGTTCGGATGGCGAAACTGAAAATTATAACATACATATCGTTTTTGTAAATTCTCTTGTGTGAGTGTGCAAAATTTTTGGCAACGAATCAGACTGATTGCGGTCCCGCACTTTACCCACTGGCGCCAATCTTTTCCACCTCCAGTATGGGGGCTTGGCTGGTAGTCCACGAAAGTATGCCGGAAGAGCGCCGTTGTGCCAGGCCGGAATTTACAATGCTGTTGGCTGGAGGCCTTGCTTGGCGAAGTGCGTTACTACGTTCAACCACAAGAAATGATGTATAGATTCTCACGATTGATGACGCTGAAGAAGGCACACTGAAGGATGAGATCACGGAACGATGATGCAAATTGTGCTCCGCACAATGCAGCGGCCATTGCGCTGCTACGAGCTTGCTGGCGTGGAATGGTGCGGAACGACACTTCGACGCAGAAAAAGGACCACAACACGGGAGATGCCCGACGCTGGCTCAAGTGCAAGTTCCCAATGTAGTCTGGTCCAGAGCCGCTCGGCGCACGAAATCGACCATTGTCCAGCATGTATGCTATTCTTAATCAGCTCCGCCGTGAGTGCGACCTTTTGCTCAGCACGCCACGACAGGGGCTAAGCCACATCCTGGTAGTTTGCTATGCACTCCAACCTCAGCTGTAAACTAGTGCAATTGCAACTATTCAACTTTATGTTCAGGAATTTGCCGTGATGCACATTCATTCGTGAACGACAGACGCGCCGAACAGACGGGTCAGCTACAGTGTTCAAGAAGCTGGTGAGGGCTAATTCACCATTTGCGGGCATGTTGTTGGCACAACTTTGGGATCGGAGTTGAGGCTTGGTGCTAGCATCGCAGTGCCTCAGCCATCAGCATCGCCGAGCAACGGTGGCGCTGCGCAAACGAAGCAACGGACATTTGGTAAAAGTGGCCTGCGACGCTCTTCTGCCACAATCCTGCTCGTGGCCGCATACACCAAGACGTGCTACATTCCTCTGCCATTCAAGTCAATTGCGGACATCAGCCTTGTCTTTGCTGCAGGGCGTCCCAGGATCAGCGCACTGCCTCCAGGATCCAGTCGCGCCCGGGCCTCGCATCACGTCTCTCAACCTCACAGCTCAGCCAAACTTTGCGGACCACCGAAACGCCTGATAACGGCCGAAATTGACGTTCGAATCCTCACCTCACGATCACGGGAACGGACAACAGCAGTGTTTTTTTGTTCATTCGGCGACGTTAGCCACGCCGTGGAGAGCAGCCAGGACGCCTGCGGACAGCTTACGCACCTCCGCACGACCTCCGCACCCGCCCGCCGCACCGCTGCGACGTCTGCATGAGCGTACAGAGCAGCACAACTGCGTAGAGACAGCGCCGCCATGGCCGGGAGGGCCCAGGGGGGACCGCCGTCTCACAGCGACAACCTGATCGACTTCGACGACCACGACGCCCAGCCGACGTACTACTCGGGCGCCCGCGCCCCCGTGCACGACCATGAGCTGCTCGACCGCTACGACATCGACAGCTCCGACACGGCGCCGCAGGGCCGGCCATCTGTGTCGTATGACGACTTTGTGGGCGGCGGCAGGCCCGCCGCCGGCCTACCAGGAGGGCCAGGAGGGCCAGACCTGAACAACTACCAGCGCTACTCGGACGCCGACATCCCCGCCGACGACGACCACTCCATGCAGGGCTACTACGCTGCCGGCGGCGCCTACGAGCAGACGTCGCCCGGCATCCAGCGCGGCGCGTCCAAGAAGGCCCACAACAGGAACAGCATCCTGGGCCTGGGCGGCGGCCTCACGGGGCGCGTCAAGAACATGTTCGGGCGCGGGCCCGACTACTCTGAGATGGACCTACCCTTGACCGAGCACGCCGCCCAGCCCAGCCATGCCGGGGCAGGCGCAGGCGCAGACCACGATGCCGAATCAGCAAAAAAGAAGCCCTCACTCGGCACCTTCAAGTTCGGCTTTGGACGCGGAGCGCCAGACCCGTCGACCCTCGGCCCCCGCATGATCCACCTCAATAACCCTCCGGCCAATTCGCAAAACAAATACGTCGACAACCACATCTCCACCTCAAAGTACAATGTCATCACCTTCCTACCAAAATTCCTCTACGAGCAGTTCTCCAAATACGCCAACCTGTTCTTCTTATTCACCGCCATCCTGCAGCAGATACCGGGCATTTCTCCCACCTCACGATATACTACCATTGTTCCTCTCTGCATCGTCCTCCTGGTGTCAGCCATCAAGGAGTACATCGAGGACTACAGGCGCAAGCAGTCTGATGCCCAGCTCAATAATTCGAAGGCGCAGGTCCTCAAGGGCTCGTCCTTCACCGAAACAAAATGGATCAGCGTGGCTGTAGGAGATATTGTGCGTGTCGAGTCCGAGTCGCCCTTCCCTGCCGACCTGGTGCTATTGGCGTCGTCCGAGCCCGAAGGTCTGTGCTACATCGAGACAGCGAATCTGGACGGAGAAACAAACTTGAAGATCAAACAGGCCATTCCCGAAACTGCCGACTTCGTCAGTCCCGCTGAGCTGGCCCGACTGAGTGGAAAGATCCGGTCAGAGCAGCCTAATAGCAGCCTGTACACTTACGAGGCGACCCTGACCATCGCCGCTGGCGGAGGAGAGAAGGAATTGCCTCTGGCGCCAGATCAGCTACTCTTGCGCGGTGCCACTCTTCGAAACACACCTTGGATCCACGGCGTTGTCGTCTTCACTGGTCACGAGACCAAACTTATGAGAAATGCCACCGCGACACCCATCAAGACCACAGCAGTTGAACGAATGGTTAATAAGCAAATCCTTATGCTTGTCATTATCCTCGTGTGTCTCAGCATCATCAGCTCTATCGGAGACGTTATTATCAGATCGACTCGCAGCGGTAGCCTCGACTACCTCCAGCTCGAGGCCTTCAATGGCGCGAAACAATTCTTTTCTGACCTCCTTACGTACTGGGTCCTTTATTCGAACTTGGTACCCATATCGCTCTTTGTCACGATCGAAATCGTCAAGTACTACACTGGTACCCTGATTGATTCGGACCTGGACATCTACTATGAGCCCACGGACACACCTGCAAACTGCCGGACATCGTCCTTGGTGGAGGAGCTTGGTCAAATCGAATATATATTCTCAGACAAGACAGGCACACTGACATGTAACATGATGGAGTTCAGGCAGTCCTCAATAGCTGGTATCCAATATGCTGACGAAGTTCCCGAGGATCGTAGAGCCACGGTCGAGGATGGCATGGAGGTTGGCATCCATGACTTCAAGCAGCTTGCGCAGAATCGCCAAAGTCACAATTCACGGGACATCATCAATCACTTCCTTACCCTACTCTCGACGTGTCACACTGTGATTCCCGAAAGAGGAGGTGAAAAGGACGTCATCAAGTATCAAGCAGCTTCTCCCGACGAAGGAGCTCTGGTCGAAGGTGCGGTAACTTTAGGCTACAAGTTTATTGCGAGGAAACCTCGTGCAGTTATCATTGAAGCAGATGGTCGGCAACAAGAATTTGAGCTCCTGGCTGTTTGTGAATTTAATTCAACCCGCAAGCGCATGTCGACCATATTCCGCACACCGAACGGCAAGATTGTTTGTTATTGCAAGGGCGCAGACACTGTAATCTTAGAGCGACTTGCGAAAGACAACAACCCATACGTTGAAACCACGCTGACCCACCTGGAAGAGTATGCTGCCGATGGACTCCGTACGCTCTGCCTGGCTATGCGCGAAGTTCCCGAAAACGAATTCCAAGAGTGGTGGCAAATATTCAACACTGCGCAGACAACCGTGAGTGGAAACCGCGCGGAAGAGTTAGACAAAGCTGCAGAGCTCATCGAACATGATCTTACGCTTCTTGGAGCAACTGCTATTGAAGACAAGCTCCAGGAAGGTGTGCCAGATACGATTGCTACTCTGCAGTCTGCTGGTATCAAGATCTGGGTATTGACTGGTGATCGTCAAGAAACTGCAATCAACATTGGCATGAGCTGCAAACTGATCAGCGAAGACATGTCGCTGCTAATGATAAATGAAGAGTCAAAAGAGGCGACCAGGGACAACATTCGCAAAAAGTTCCAAGCGATTACCACACAATCACAGGGCGGCCAGCATGAGATGGATGTTCTTGCTCTCGTCATCGATGGCAAGTCACTTACTTATGCGCTCGAGCGCGACTTGGAGAAAGAATTCCTGGACCTTGCGGTCAAATGCAAAGCCGTCATTTGTTGTCGCGTCTCTCCTTTGCAAAAGGCCTTGGTCGTCAAACTCGTCAAACGCCATCTCAAGTCCATCTTACTAGCAATTGGCGACGGCGCCAATGACGTTTCCATGATCCAAGCTGCACATGTTGGCGTGGGCATATCTGGTGTCGAAGGCCTCCAAGCTGCTCGATCTGCTGATATATCTATTGGCCAATTCCGTTACCTTCGGAAACTTCTGCTTGTCCACGGTGCCTGGAGCTACCAGCGCGTGAGCAAGGTCATATTGTATTCCTTCTACAAGAACATTGCCATGTTCATGACGCAATTCTGGTACTCGTTTCAGAATGCTTTCAGCGGACAGATTATTTACGAATCATGGACGCTGACATTCTACAACGTCTTCTTCACAGCCGCTCCGCCATTCGTCATCGGAATTTTCGATCAATTCGTTAGTGCCCGTCTTCTCGACAGATACCCACAACTCTACCGATTGAGTCAGTCTGGCGTTTTCTTCCGTATGCACAGTTTCTGGAGCTGGGTGGCAAACGGATTTTATCATTCCTTGATCCTCTACTTTGGCAGCCAGGCTTTCATACTCTGGGACTGGCCACAATGGGATGGCCGCAATGCTGGCCATTGGGTATGGGGCACTGGTGCGTATACCGCAAACCTCGCCACTGTCCTTCTCAAGGCGTCTCTTATTACCAACATCTGGACCAAGTACACGTTCCTTGCTA